TGATAAAATTTTTATCTATTTAAAACAAAATAAAAGTCAAAATATTATTGATAAAGATGCTTTTAAAGATATGAAAAAAGCTAGGAAAGAAGTTTACAGAAATAATTTTTTTTCAAAAAAGCAAATGAATTTAGATCTATTGTTAAAACTAATGATAGCGTTGATGGTGTTAATAATAATAATATGAATAGAAAAGGTGATAAAGATAATATTATAGACATTGATAATATTAATTTTGAAACTTTATATTTTAATGAAGGGACTTTTATAATCATGAAGAGTATGAAGGTTTTATTGAATACCAAATCGATTAGAATAGTCTTTATAAATGATTGTATTACAGATTTGCAGTATTGCGTTTATTATACTTAATAAAGTAATAATCTTTGAGTAACATAAATATAAAAAGTATTTATGTGCAGGTTTACAAAAAAATAAAGAAAATTTATTTATTGCATGTATTTTTTTTATAAAAATAAGCTTAGTTGTCATGACTTTTAATTATTACTATATAATAGATAATAATGGATTTTTAATATTAATATAATGAAAATCTTATCTTTATTTACTATATGTGATTAGTAAATTCCTTTACTATAGTGAATTTTAGTTTTCAGCTCATGAGGTTTAATATAGCAAAGGTAAACTGTAATAAGTTAAATAGTGATATCTGCTTAAACTTTTTTTGCCAAAAATTTCAGTTTTGTCACCAACTAGTTTCAGTTTTGTCATTAATTAAACTATATAAATTATAAAAATATATAAAATTATATTATATATATAATAGTTTTATAAATTCTTTTTAAAAAATATTATATTTTAATAAAAATTATAAAAATTTATTTTGTTAAGTAATTATTATAATTAAAAATTCATGAAAAATTCATAGAAATACCATAAAATATTAAATTTTAGCATTTTATCTTTTAATTTTAAATGTATAAATAAGTTTCATCAAATGACTAAATATTTTAGTTTTACCCATATCTCTAAGGTTAAAGATATAAAAATTATCTACTTATATATAATTAATTGAAACTCTATCTGCTGAAGTGTAATGTCAAATATATTTCATGAGTTTGTGAAAACTTAAATAAAAAAAAAATAAAATAAAATAAAAAAATAAAAAAAAACATTTAGTAATAAACCCACCCTATAAATTCATCTATACTCTTAAAATTAAAGAGGGTTATCAGATCTTTTACTTTAAATCTTATCAATTTTTTTTGTATTGATTAAATTTCAGTTAAAATCATAAATTTATTCTTAAGACTTTATCAATCTTTTTAGCTTACTTGATCATCTTTTACTTGATTTATTTTACAAAACTTTTAAATTCACACCTTAGTTTTACTTTTGAAAGAAATTTTTCTTTAGTAATCTATTTTTAGATTAGTTCAATAAAAATATAAAATATCTGACCTATATACCTTCATATTCATCAAGATTAAATTTTGTATTAATAATATTATCAAATCCTTTATCTTGAATAATTTTGAATACTTTACAACTTATATTAGAAAGTGAAGACTAAGTTAACTGGATATATTACTATTTTAAATTCCAGTTTGCAGAAAACTATCTAACTGGCAGTCTTTAATAAAACAGTCTACATTTTATTATTTTAAAGTTCCAATATTCTCTTATTGAAGTCTATAAATATTATGAGCATAATATATTTCTTCTGTGATTTAAGTTTCATCACAATCATGTAATTCCAGTTTTTTAGGTAGTCAAGATTTCAAAAATATTGAGTTGAAACAGTTGCTTATTAAAATATATCTTGTCATGATTATTAAAATTTATTTCTCTGATATGTACAAAGATTTTTTTGCCTTATACTGCAAGGTAATACTAAACTTACTATTTATAATTTCTAATACTTGCTTTTTACTTTCAGAAAATATGAGTTTAATAATTATTATTATTTATATATACTGTTCAAATTATTTTAAAATGGTATAATTATAATTTGAAATATTGTAATTTATTCAGTTTATATGTAATTTACTATATAAAATCCAAAATAATTTGGGATGCTATAATTGAATTTAGAATTTACTTATAATTATAGCAGCCTAAAATAATTTGGGTAACATATATATTATCATTATTATATTCTATGATACTATTTCAATATAACTAATTTATTTATTTTTATCTTTAAGGGTAAATGATAAGTTTATGTGTCTAGTACTTTTATTTGTATTGCAGGTAATTTAACAGGTAATTAGTATATAGGTTCTTTAAAAATTTCTATTTATAAAAAACATCTAAATTAAGGGCAAATTATGTAATTTTGGAAAAATTTTATTTTTAAATAAAATTTTTCAAAGTATTACGAAAAGGTATAGAGTAATATCTTTGTAATAAGTAGAGTATAATAAGGATATGACATTATATATACTCAAGTGATAAATAAACATCTTGGTTTAAGCTTAGTTTAGCAATTTGATTGGGTGTCTATTTATTACTTGCATATATTTTACATTCTTTATATTATATACTGCCAAATATTACTTTACTTTACTTATCACAGAGACTTTACTCTATACCTTTTCATCTTACCAAATTTTTGAACACAAAATAAGGTTTTAAATATCATTTTTAATTTATTTAACTTTTATTTTATTTATTTATTTTTGAATATAATTGGCAAAAATCTTTTGCTCATATGTAAAGTCAAAAACACTACTTTTTTTTTTAAATAAACTTGTAAAGTAGACTAAAATATGCTTATTTTATAATTTCAAGTTTATATTTAATTTTAATTTATAAAAAAGAATAAATGTATTTGTAACAGCCTGTTACATATCTTATTTGTAACATCCTTTTTTTTATTTTTTTTTAATAATAAATTTAGTATGTATTTTACAAATAAAAATTTTTATATGCAAAATTTAATTTGGAAAACTTTTACTTAATGTACTTAAGACAGTTTCATAGACAAAATTTTAAGTTATAAGCAGTTTCTTAAAATTTTTTAAAAAATTCTTTTGTCTTAGTTACATGACTGATCTTTTGTTTTTGTTTACATTACGTCTGATCTTAAATTTTAATTGGATAAAATTGGGAATTGTTACAAATAACGTAACAGGCTGTTATAATTAGATTTATTCTATAAAAAAATTAGTCCATTTATATTATATTAAATTATATGATTTACTCTTACTTTAAACGATCTCTATTTATGTCAATATGTTTTTTTGAGTAATTAAATCATTATTGATTATAATTATTAATACATTTATATCAGCTAACTTTTTTTTTATAGTTTATTTAAACTGCAACTTTAAGTAGCTAGTCTTCTCATATATTAGCAAATTTTATGAAAAGATACATAAAATGTACATATTTCTTTTTATCAAGATTTAAGTTCATAAGTTTTGTATCAAACATTTAGTAAAAAAATAAGTTATATTTGAGTAAAATTTTTTAAAGTTTCTGAAATACTCATTTTGCTAATTTTACAATATTTACTTTATAGCATTACTTCTAAAAGGTCTGTAAACTTTCTTTTAGTTAAAAGTAAAATAAGTTTTTTAGTCTTTTTAAAAATAAAAGTAAAGTTTTCCTTAGTGTTGAAATTCATATTTCTTTATTTTTCATACTAAAAAATAGTTTATATTATCAGTAATAAAAGTTATAATAAATTATTATAAGTTATAATGAAATTGTGGAAAATTAGTTAATAATGCAGAATGTAATATATCAGTTATAACAAGCAAGTTATATCATTATTTTATTATAAAAAAATCTAAAATTCTAAAAAATTTATATAAGTACTATTATATTTATTATTATTATTATTTTTGAAACTATTTTTAAAACTATTATATAAAAATTTTAAAAATAAGCTAATATTAAAAGGATGAAATATCCAAACATACTTTTATTTTTAATTTATTTATAAATTTGTTATAACTTATAAGGTAAATTCATATTTTAATAAAATGAATAATACTTATAATATAATAATTAAAAAAAAGTCAAAATCTTATATTATATCAATAAATCATATAATTTATAAACATAATAATTTAGTTAACTATTAAATCTAATAATATATATTAAACTATATATAATGTAATATATGTTATTACTTTTATAAAATAAACTATCTTTTGTATTTTTTATATAACTGCTACACATTTATTAAGAAAAAGTCAAAGTTTTTACAAATATACAAAAGTACATAAGAGGACTAATTAAGACTAAAGGAACAAAATAAACCATTCGTCATTTTCTAAAGGAAACCTCATGTGTGTACAGTCAGGCAGTTATATGGCTATATGAGTATAGTTCACATTATATAGAACTTTTTCTTAGCCCTTTGAACCTTGTAGTATAAGCTAAACAAAATAAAATAAACTATCTATAATTACATGTTAATTATAAAATAAATAATCATAAAGACAGCAAATATTAAAAATCTAAATAATATTAATTATAAAAAGAAAAATCCAAACTAGACTTTAAATCTAATATTTAGCTTATAACCAAAGTTCTAGTTTTTCTAATAAAATACTTAAAAATGCAATAAAATCTTTAATTATATAAATAAATTGGTTTTATGCAAGATAACCATTATGTATATTTTATTTATTTTACTTTAAAATAAAAGTTATAAATAAAAATGCAGATTCTATAAATTATACATTTATCATTTTATTAATAAAAATATAAAATAAACATCTTATTTAATTATATCTTTAATAGAATAATAATAATAATATAATTATACGAAACCCAGGTATTTTATTTATACAGTTTTATACAGTCTAACTGATTAGGTATTAGGACTGTATTAGGTAACAAATTAACTATGTTTATTATCTCTTATTTAACAACTAACTATCATGTTTTCCGTATTATTAATGATCAATTCAATCCATCTGTAGACTATGATTGGCGTTCAGATTTAGATATTTCAAAATTTTATTTTAGTAAGCTTAAACATGCATGACGATATTATTTAATCTAATTTTTTTTTTTATAAATAATCAATTATTCTTGAAACAAATAGTTACATACATTTACAAAATTTTGCGTCGCGAAATAAAACTTGTAGACGTTAATTAATCTAATAATAAGTGTATTCTTTGTATTTTGATTGTTGTATCAACAATTTTAATTAAAATGTTTGTTTGTAATTCATTAAACTTTCTTCGTATTCATAGTCGAAAGTTGCTTAATTCAATTCCTGTACGAACATATGCTGTAAGTTACCTTCTTATTCATTGTCCGATTCTCTATTATAATAGACTCATTTTATTAATGCCCTTTTTTTTTCAGAATTCAGCAGGGATTGTAAAATCGCAATGTGCAATTGTGTTTCCAGGTAAGCAATTTACCTGTATAACAGAGCTGATATTTTGTATTGCTCTAAAATCAATGGTAAAGGAACCGTTGTCTTTTCCTTTTTCTTAGCTTATATTCCAGAGGTTTATATGTAAAGTTCAAAATTTCCTTATAGGAAATTTTGTTTTTTATTTCTAGTAAATAATCAACCATTTTGATAAAATTGTATTTGATCTTTCATTATAGGTCAAGGCGCACAATATGTTGGAATGGGAAAAGATCTTTACGAGAACTTTGCTTCGGCACGTCATGTTTTTGATGAGGCCAATGAAGTATTAGGCTTTAATTTAAAAGGATTAATATTTAACGGAACGCAGGTAATTTTTTTTTAATATTACCTTTTGATCGATGCTTTTTACGCGAAATGTTAACTTATTTTGACTTTTTATACTAGAGCCAATTAATACAAACAGAAAACACGCAACCCGCAATATTAACAACATCTGTAGCAATTCTTCGTATATTAGAAGTAATTGGTTAATTTTATTATTCATATATATGTAATTGATTGAATATCTAATATTGAAATTTACTTATATGTTTTAGAGTGAATATGGCTTTAATATCGAATCCGCTTGCACTTTTGCACTCGGTCATTCGTTAGGAGAGTATACAGCTCTCGTAGCTACAAAAGCATTATCTTTGCATGATGCTATCAAGCTCGTAGTACGTGTTTATAATTCTTTTTTATTATTTATTTTAATAAAGATAATCATTAATTTTGTCATTAAAAGAGATTACGTGGAGAATCCATGACAAAAACGGTTTCACAATTAAAAGTAAAAACAGCAATGTCAGCATTGATTGTACGACAAGAGAATTTAGCAGAAATAGAAGAATCAATAAAAGGAATAAATTCATCTTTGCCTGAGGGTGAATTAGTAGAATTGGCTAATGTTAATAGTGTAAGCGTAGTTTGAAATATCTTTGAAAAAAACATTCATAAAAATTTCGATTAAATCCCAACAATTTTTTTATTAATTGTATATAATTTGTAAAAGTCATTTCAGGTTTGTGATTGTTTTAATGAATTGCTTATTTCTTTTAACGTAAAATTGAACTTTAAATTTATTCCTGATTTAATTTATCCCCTAATAGGCTGTAATAAGTGGAACTAGTAACGCTGTCGATTTTGCATCAGGAGTTTTACAATCTAATCATCTCGCAGCAAGAGCCTTGGATCTTCCAGTTTCGTAAGAACTATCCATTAATTTTTTAAAAATTGATTTATTTCGCAATTATCGAAATATCATCTATATATATTCATTTTTTTTAGTGCACCGTTCCATTGTAAATTAATGCAACCAGCCGCAGATATGATGAGAGCGTCACTAAAAAATATAAAATTCAATACTCCAACCATCGATGTCATAACGAATGTGACGGCTACTCCAGTAAATTTTTTTTTTTGATCGTGAAATTTTAATTTTATTTCAGATATATTTTAATTATTTTACATTATTGTAGATAAAATCTAGTACTGAGATACCCCAATTGTTAGAAAAACAAGTGACTGCAACTGTACAATGGCAAAAAAGCATAAAGTATTGTAAAGAAAGAGATATAAATACTTTTATTGTTATTGGCCCCGCTAGAGTTTTGGCTAATTTATTAAGGAAAGAATATCCATTGGATCGTATTAGGTTAGTAACTATTGATATATTAACCCGTATTTATTCTGATGATTAATTTCATTTATTTAAAATTTCTCCAGACCTCTTACTACTGTGAAAGATATACAACTTCATTCGGAAGAATTGAAAATCAAGCAGCTGAACACTTTATAACTTAGATATTCATTAAATATTATTTTGTAGTTTCTAATTTTTAAATAAATAAAATTATAATTTATTTTTTTCTTTGGAATCGTAAATTTTGCTATACTGCAGTTTATAATATTTCAGGGTATGGTGTACCTGGTTTAAAATTGTATAGTACCTTGGGTACAAACCTTCATCTTCATATTATCGCTACATACATTAATTTTACTAAATTCATATTTGAGTTTGATTACGTTAATATCGTTGTCATATCCATGAATGATCTGTGGCGCAGTAGGTGATACAAAATTTTTGAGTATTAAGGGAGCGACGCAAAATATTACCTTTCTCGTATAGGAGTTAAAAAGGAACGTACAAGCAATTTTTGCGGGTTCGACACCAATGATTAAGAACATGAAGTTTATGAGGCAAGAAAAAAATCAAAAGCATCATTAAATATTTTATGTTTTTTTGGTCACATTAATGATTTAGTAATTTTATTTAAATATAATAAAAAAGATCACCGGGAACTTTTAATTATACATAAAGAACAATGTATTATTATTTTGCGAAAAATAGAAAGTTCCCCAACAAAAAAAAAATTTCATATAATAATAAAAAAAAATAAATAATTCCTAATTTAATGGATTTAATGTTTGTGAGCTTCTTTCTTTGCATCACCAGTATTTTTGGTGATGTTGCCTTCAGCTTGCATCTGTTGATTACCGATGGCTTTACCAGTGGTTTCTTTGAAGAGAAAATTTTGTAATTAATACCAATGATTTTTACTATTAAATCAAACTCTTTATATATATATACCTTTTACGGTTCCAGTGACGCTATCCTTTAATCCTTCTGCTTGTCCTTTTGTTTGTGCTGCTTTATATTCACCTTCGCCTAAAATATAAAAGAGATATAAATGAATATTCGGAAGAATCGGAAGACAGATTTTAAATAAAAAAATTACCTTCAAGTTTTTTGGCTGTTCCTTCGGCTTCCATTTGTTCATTACCTATCGCTTTGCCAATAGTTTCCTTGACAGCACCTTGGTAGTATTTGGTGTTAGCATCGACTCTGGATGGTTCAGACATGTTTATTTTTTTATTGTAAATGTAAATATAGAGATTTAGATTGATTTTTTTTTTTTGATTCGAATTTGATTTGATTTAATTTATTTTGGAGAAAATTCGTAGCATATTTATAACAATTTTCCCATCGATTTCTTTGATGTCATTATAACGTACCGAACTCATGAAACGTAATTATTCAATGTTAAAACGTCATTTACATTTTTTGAAAAAAAAAAGTATCATAATGATGTAAAGAAATATAAAAATTATATAAATGGGAATTAAGGTTTTTCAATATTAAGATTATATATTAAGTTCATCAAAAAAAATATATATATAATATTATATTCTCGGTAATCATGACGAAATTACATATAATATGTTAAATCATAAACACATTTGTTTTCACAGAAAACCTGTTTACAAAATCATTTAAATTTTTTTTTTTGTGTCGCACCTATGAAAATTTTTAAATAAAAACAATTAATAATTATAATAGAAAGAATATACTTTTTTGTAGTGTGTGAAGTTTTTTGAAGTCAAACAATAAATATTACCAAGCGGCAAAAAAGAAATTGTGATTAGGCGTTTTCTTTTCATGTGCAGGGGCGCAGGTCAGCAGGTGATCATGAGCATATAGCATATACGCAGCACATTTACATAGTATTATGTCATATCATGTGACACTCATGTGACATTCGAAATATTCAAAATATTTCTTTGATATGTAAACGTGTAGTACTTCACGAACCCAAAAAAATTAATTTCTGGGTACAAATATTTCTAAAGAACCCTGGAATTTGTGAACAATAACTTAAAAAAGGAATTTTGATGATTATGTGTGTAAAATTAAGTGCATTAATAGAAACGATTAATACCGAAAAATTAATATACAGTAATTTGATTGGATCGGATATAATTGGTACCGATATCACCATTCAAGTCGGTGAATGTAATACTAAATCCTTATCATATTACTTGATAACGCAAAGGAAACTTGTTGCATTAATTATTTATTATTCGTTATCTTTTAACATATTTGATGCGAATTGCGGATCAAAGAATAGTAAAAAGTTTGACCGTGTTTACCCGAATTAAATATAACTCTCCTTTTTAAGGGAAAAAAAATAAATAGCGTTTTAATTCCCCTAACGATAAAAATCTTGATTTAATCGATTCGTTGGAAAAATAAAAGTCAAATTATAATGATAAGCGATAATCTCTAACTGCAGATATTTCCTATCACAAAATATGATGTAAGCAAAAAAGGTTAAAAAAAGGAATCCTTAAATATGTCATTAAAACTAACTTTAAAAAAAAAAAAATTTGACAGATAACGATACAAACTATTATTTGTTAACATGCATTAAGATAAACCAATTCATTATTTTTGTTAAACATTAGATAAAACCAAAAAAAAATGATGTATAAATATATAACGAAATTTATTAATTTCCATCTATAGTTTTTTTTATTTTCTTTCTTTATTTTATTTTTATTTTTATCATTCATTTTATTTTTAACCCTTCACTTTCTTTTCCTTTTATTTTATTATTTCATCAACTTCTCATACTTACATTAAAAAAAAAAAAAGATGGGAACGAATAATTCAAAAATCAATCATGCAAAAAGAAAGTCTACCGATAACAATTATCAAATTATAAGCACGGAACAATTATCAGCTAAAACTTCAGATGAGTTTAACACAAAAAAATTTAAATATATAGAAGGAAGGCGATTCCATAATTGGCCTGACGTACATTATGATCTTCCAAATGATGAAACTGAAAGTAAATAAATAAATAAATATATATATAATATAAATTATATAATTTATGATCTTGATCTTATTAATTAATGATAATAATAATATCCAAACAGTCGATCGCTTGCATTTAGAACATTTTTTGTTACGGGACGTATGGCAATCAAATTTTTCTTCCCCAATACACGAACAATTGGTATCCGGATGTAACGTACTAGACGTTGGATGCGGTCCAGGCGCTTGGTGTTTAGATATGGCAACAACTTATAAAAATTCCAAATTTTATGGATTAGATATTTCACCTATTTTTCCTTCAGAAATCAAACCAAAGAATACAATATTTCAAGAATGTCAAATACTTGATGGTATTCCTCATAAAGATCAAACATTTGATTTTTGTCATATGAGATTCATGTTCCCTAGTTTTGATGAAAATCAATGGAGAACATATGTAATAAAAGAAGTTGGTAGAGTTTTAAAACCTGGAGGTATGAAATATATGTATATATATATATATAAACTTTGTTTAATCCGTGTACTAATCAATTATTTATAAAAATAAAAAGGGTACCTTGAAATTGCAGAATATAAATTATGTGAAAATTGTGGACCTATTTTGAAAAGATTATTAGATCTAAGTAAGTCAATTGCGGTATAAATATTGATTAAAATTCATTTGATATATACAGTAAATTAACGAAGAACATTAATAATTTAAAGGATGCGAGATGATGTCGAATATAGGACGTAATCCAAACATTGCATCACTTCTCGGTGATTTTATGAGAGATACAGATCTATTTGAAGATATTATTTATGAGGAAAAAATAATAGAAACAGGTATGATTTTTTTTTAAAGGACCACACTTCTTTTAAATTGGGTTTATTTACCATCATCTTTTTATATCACACTTTTAAAATTGGATTTATTTACCATAATCTTTTTATGATTCAGGGAGTTGGGGAGGAAAATTAGGAGAAGTTGCGAAAGATGATATATTTACAAGAATGCATGCTATAAAACCCGCGTTAATGAATCATATAAAATGTAGTGGATTGGGAATAACATCAGAAGATTATGATGAAATGATGAATCAATGTATAGATGAATTTAACGAATATAAAACATATTTTGTTACATGTAGATGGTATGGAAAGAAATTATAGACATAATAATAATAATTATAATTTATGATCAAAGACTGTAAAATAATAATATATGAGATACCGGAGATAGAACAATAAATTTATAAATATGATAACTGAATTATATGTTTAATTTTACATAAAATATTTATTATATGTTATTAAGTGTATGCAAGATAAAATTTACAATATAAAATTATAATTTTTTTTATAATTTCAACTTTTTTAATTGTGATGCCTTTTTAATAAATTCTTCACCTTGTGAGATATCTTTTTTAATAATTTTTCCTTCTTTTAAATATTTACCGAAATCTTCCATTGCTAAAATATGATTTTGTAAGGCAGCCATTTTTAAATAATTTAAACCTTTTTCAATTTTTTCACCAAAAGCTAATCTATTTATAATTGCAGTACCATATAAATATTGAGCTTCGGGAAGATTTTGTAAAGCAGCTTTTTTAAGATATTTAACACTATGTAATGTATCAATAGAATTAACATAACGATTTCGAAGATAAATTCCAACTTTAAGTTGAGCTTCAGCATTTCCTACGTCAGCATGTTGTTTAAAAATTGGATATGCTTCATCATATCTTTCTTCTTTATCATATTTAAAAGCCAAATTCAAATCCTTTAAACCTTTTTGATAAGTTGATTTATTATTTTTAATAGTATTATCAAAATTTTGTTGTTCTAATTCGTTAATAAAAAAATCATCTGAAGGATCAGTATCTACGATATATGAAGAATCTTCAAAAGATAAAGTTGTAGGTGAAAGATTATTAATAAGTGATGAATTTGTTATCCAACATTTGGAACTTATAATCGATAATTTATTTGATAATGAAGACTTTTTCTTTTGTATTTTATAAAGTTCAAATAAAGTGACATTGTTATTAATTGAAGAATTCTTTCTAATGATTGGTTTACCCATTTTATAAAATCAAATTAATTACAAGGGTTGTAGTATAATGTTATACCTTCGTTCGACGAAGAAAAAGTATAATATATGATTTATTATTTTACAAGTTTAACTTGATCAACAAGTTTTAGTTCGAAGGGAGATTATGAGAGATATTATGAGAGATATTTTAAGAATCGTAAAAAATGAGGATTATATTTATAAGAATATTAAGAATATTGATTTCGAAATTATGTTTCATCATAAACAATATTAACGTATTTAATATATAGGTTATAAAGAAATACTTTGTTAAGGTTTAAAATTAATTAATTAATATATTCTTTGTATTGAAATCACAAAACGAATTTTACAAACAAGTTTGATGAACCTGATACATTTTAGCTTAAAATAGAACTTTGTTTCACAAAAATAGAAGCGCAGTTTTAAAGTTTGAAACCGGAGAAAGTCGGGGCTATGAACCCATATTTTAAATCATGTGATCAAATAAAAAATTTTTTAAGGTTTTAAAATCGATTTTTTTCTAGGGTAAGGAATTCATTGAAAGGAAGAATTTTTTTCTAATGCATTATATTAATAAAATACTAAATGTATAAAAGAAAGGCATTAAAATTATAAATTATCAAAATTTACATTTTTTTTTTACCCATAAGTTTGGTGGCTGTTACAATTGTTTAAAAATTTTAGAAGTTCTTGTTGAATTTATAAACAAGATTTTTTTTTTCCTGAAAGGTAAAATGAAAGGTTAAATGAAAGGTTAAATAAATCTGTATATAACTATACCCGAAATTTCAAAAAAAAAAAAAATTAAAATTTTGGTCGAGCCTCAGCTTTTCCCAATTAGAATTTTTAGTATGGTGTAGATACCCTAGACCTAGAGCGAATTGGTGATACTTTCTATGGTTGTATCATAATTCTGTATATTGTATACTGTGTATGTTGAAGGTACTTCTAATACTGTATACTGTAGTTAATGCTGACCTAAGACACGATATATCACGATATAACACGACCCAAAAGTTAACAGGTTTTGTCACATTTATGTAAATTTATTGAATGTATCTCAAACGAGTTTTCAATGATCAGCTGCTCTATTAGACCGGTTAAACCTGGTTTGTTATATTTATTATCGGATATCGGGAAAAAATTATCCATAAATTGACAGGAACATAATGTACTTTAATGAACTCTATAGTTTACCATTTCCGGGCGAATCCGGACATTTTCCGGACTTGTAATTTCACTTGTATTATATTTTTCAGCCACACTGTTACAATGTTATTTAAACTAATCTAAAAAGGGAACCATTTGATCGAAACAATCTAAATGTTATGTTTCACAAAAATTTCTAATCAATAAAAAAAAAATTTCTAATGATTCTAGACCGAATACATCAGGAACAAAAATAATAATCATTTTAACTAATATGTAGATTCATTGAATGACTTAAAAAAGGAACGAAATCTGAGAAAAAAGTTCGACCCTATTAGATAACACATAAATTATTCTCATTTGATTTAAAAGTTGTCATTCGCTAATTGTTTAGGCGCGTCTCATATGTTACCACATGTTTAAAAATATTTATTATTGTATGTATATATATGTGTATATATATTATATATATATGGTCTTATTATATACGATAAATAACCCAATAAAATATAGAATGGGTTAACACATCTTTTAAATAAGATCGCGAAAAATGATTTTTATTGATTTTATTGATATTTAGGAAATGTCTGGACCATCATTCTAACGCACGCCAAAAAAATAACACAACATTTAATTCTTGTTATGGAAACAAAACTCCACAGGAATAAAATAATTTTATCGAATTTGGTGAAATATATTCTAATTGGAAATTGGTTTCTTTAATTTCTTTTCTTTTTTCTTTTATGACAACCTTCTTTTTTTTTGCTTTTTTTGTAAAAATACTTGAATTTAAATTAAAAAAAAAATGTTTATATATATTATATTATATAGTTATACTATATATTATATATTATTTAATACTAGGTCTAGAACTGTCTGCAAAGTTAATTTGGCGCATTCACACAGATAAATACATAAAAATTTTTTTTTTTTTTTAAAAAAAAAAAAATTTTAATTGTTATTCCGAAATTTTCAATTGTTATATATATATTTTTATCAATAAATAATAAGTACTGCGGAAACAATTTATAAACGTGATACAATAATATAAAATATATAATCATATAATCTAGAAACAATAACACAATAAACAAAAAGGTTCTCAAGAGTCTAGATCTTTTCATTTAAAAATTTTCAAAAGGCAAATTTCCTTTTAAAAATGGAATGCAGATATTTCGGAGAGTCATTATCTCTCGAATTATCCTAAAATTTTCTCTTTTTGGTTTTGCTTTTCATTCATTTAATAAGTTAAAAATATAAGAGTGAAATTTTTCATCATTTTTTTTTTTATTTATTTCCGGCAACGCCACTTTTTTTTTAATACTACAAACTTTCCTTTCGCCAAAAAAACAAAAAACATGCAAGTAAGTTTACAATTTTTTATGGTTTTGAAAATCTGGCTTAAAATGATTTTGTATTTTCCTTTATATATAACTCATCTAGACTAGTTTATTGCCATAATGTCTACTACAAATAAAAATATATCATCTCCTTCATCAGACGATAGTGAAATAATAGAAGTATCAGAAAACGAAACAAATCGTGCTCGTCTTATAGCATTAGTCGTCAGGGAAGCTGTTTTCGTAGGAAATCAACAAGATTGGAACGCCGCTATTAGAATGATTTTACAACATAAATTACTTACTTTACCAGAAAAAAACACAATTGTTGCCTTATTACAAATAAAATCTTCATGTAAAATTATTTTTTTTTTTGGTTGTTGTTGATTTTACAAAATTACGAGTTATGATCAAATTAATTTAATCCTATCTCTCTTTTCTTTTTCGTTTAGAATCTCCAATTTTAGATTTTATTACAAAATACAAATAGAAAGAAAGAGAAAAATACTGACAAAAAAGTTTTTATCATCCAACAAATATATATATATATATATATATATATTGTATGTATATATTATCCCTCTACGATATAACATATAAACATTAACTCCGATTATAACGTTAACTCCGATTATAACCTCACTTATTATATATACATGAAAGAGATTAATAAATTTCTTTTGTAAATCTTCAAAATAATCTTTTAGGTTTAAGGAATTAAGATCAATTAAAATAATAACAAATATTATATAGCTCTATTACTATTACTTTTTTTTAATTTATTCTTTTCAAATACGTACGTAAAATTTAATATTTTTTATTATATATGTATCCTAAGGTTGAAGTAGCTTTATTCTTTATTGCTTACTTCTTTATTTGATTTTTTTTTTTAAAAAAAAAAATTATATATTCTAGTATTCTTTTTTCTTTTTTGAAAATTGAANAAAAAAAAAAAAAAAATGATACTATTCCTTTTGTCACGTTTTTTTTTTTATACTGGTTCTAGAATACTCTTTTTAAATTTGTTTGTTAATAATAACTTGATTACATGATTTATATTTACTAATTGATTATAAAACAATAAATAACAAAATGAGAATGCATTTTTCTATTCCTAGTTATTTTAAAACACTTTATTTAGCAGTCTCGAGAAAAGTAGATCCGTAGTACAATCTGTACAATTTTATCATTTACACCATATATATTCTATATGCAATAGAATCTTACAAATTTTATTTGTAAGATAATTAATAATCATATATATATAATGTTCAAAAAGTTGTTTGATCATCAATATAAAACCAATCCAAATTGAATGATTAATGATTGTCAATAAATATTTACTTTGGTGGTTCTTTAAATATTTTGGATGTTCAAACCGAGATAATTCAATAATAAGTAAATATTGATAATGTATTTGATGTATCTCTCCTATTTCATCTATTATGATCTTACGGAATAATACGGTAATTACATATTATAATACATAGTATCTTTAAACAAAACATTAACACCAATTTCCAAATTTTAAATCCGTTTATTTTTCGTTAATACTGTAAATATGATAAGAGTTTGTAATTATTGAATGTGTACTCCTGTTTATTCTTTAAAATCCTTTAGAAATAATAATGATAATGATTGGACCGATTTGGACGGAATCCTGACGTTATCCATTGTTCGTTCGTGGGACAAAACTTCTTTTGGAAATTTCTCACTATGAAATTCTTTGCTCATTTGTCCTATCTGTAATGATAATATTATTATCAATATCAAATATCACAAATTACCTATCTTCAAGTTCTTCAAGTTCCATCATCTTGAAAATCAATCAGCACTAAAACCGTTACAAACAGAGAGCGAAGCAAGGCAGGTTTATTATAGGCTGATAAAAGTTTATCAAGGTTCAGAATAAATTAAGCAGCTGTATCTTTTTTAGAGATTCGGGATTGGAGTCGGTATTTTGCTTAGGAAGAATTAGAGGTGGGATCATTAATTTTATTCCCTTATTTGCGACATTAAGATATGATAAATTTCATCTTTGCATTAACAACATTTAACACTTCTTTTTACATCGATTGAGATTTCATAGGATAGTTCATCTATTGTTGACTATACAATGAAATCAGGCGCATATCTGTTGAAATAAAATAATTTCATAATATTGATTAGATATGAGGAGATTTTGTAAATCTCCTTTTTTTAGGGGTGAGTAAAAGTATGAAACCCCCCTTAAATATTCGTGTCAAAAAAATGTTGCATGTCGCTCGATGTCAGAAAATATTTTCTTTTTTTCGAATATATTTTTAAGCATGTGAAAGACATTTACTGAGCGAAAAAAAAAAAAATTAAAGAAATTTGTAATAAGAATTGTTGAAATAAAGATTAAATTAGTAATTAAGGTAACTAAGGGAATTAGGGAGTTGATACATCCTAATTAATGTTCTTTTTTGTTTTAATAATTTTTTTTAAATAGTTGATAAAATAAAGTAGGAAACTTAATTGAACACCTAAATTTCATTCTTACAAGAAAAATAAATGAAGTTGGAGTGTGAAAATTCGGAGATATCAGACTCCGAATTTGTATGATGAGCGGTTTTATAGGGAGCGTTTTGATGAAGTTCTGGTTAATAGAACGTAATTATAATGTATAGGTAAATGTGATGATTGATGATTCAGTTCGATAAAGTAATTTATATAAACATCAGAGTAATTAAAATATAGACATTTCAAATGTGATAAAAGTTCGAAATATAGACATTTTAAGACGTGATAAAGTTCAAATATAAAAACATTGCAAAATGCGATAAGTTCAAAATATAGAACATTTCAAAATGCGATAAGCTTCAAAACATAGAACATTTCAAATGCGATAAAGTTCAAAATATAGAATATTTCAAAATGCGATAGGTTCAAAATATAGAACATTTCAAATGCGGTTGGTTCAAAATATAGAGCATTTCAAATGCGGTAGGTTCAAAATATAGAGCATTTCAAATGCGGTAGGTTCAAAATATAGAACATTTCAAATGCGGTAGGTTCAAAATATAGAACATTTCAAATGCGGTTGGTTCAAAATATAGAACATTTCAAATGCGGTTGGTTCAAAATATAGAACATTTCAAATGCGGTTGGTTCAAAATATAGAACATTTCAAATGCGATAGGTTCAAATATAAAACATTTCAAAATGCAATAAACTTCAAAACATAGAACATTTCCAATGCGATAAGTTCAAAATATAAAACATTTCAAAATGCGATAAAATTCAAAATATAGAACATTTCAAAATGCGATAAAGTGAAGTTTAAAATATAGAACATTCAAAATGCGATAAAGTTCAAAATATAGAATATTTTAAAACGTGATATAAGATCCATTTAATACATAAATTTACAATTATGCTACATTAAAATAAATTATAATATACTTTTAAGAATCATTAATTTCATCTTCAGGTACAGGTCCTAAGAATATACTTGTTATAGTACATAAAATGAGAGCTCCTACTGAAAACCATAAACAAGCTGCCAAGTTAAGATAAGTAAATAATACACCACCAATAATTAATCCAAGTAATCTTCCTATGGAATTTCCCATATAATAAAATCCAACATTCATAGCAACTTTATCTCTATGACAATATGCTAATATAAGAAATGAATGAATTGAAGAATTTATTGCGAAAATAAATGAAAATATAAATAATCCGACTATCATTAATATAATTAAAGGTGTACGTTGTGTTGTAATATCGATAAATTGAAGTCCAAATGCGATCCCAATTGTTATAACCAAAAGAATGATTGTGAATGGAACAAGAATTTTTCCTGATTTTACGGGATAAATTCGAGCTGGTTTTAAAATTAATTGAGGTGTACTTGATTGAATTGCACCATAAAACATTACCCATCCGGCCAAGAATGCCCCTGTTTCAAGATATGACCTAAAAAAATAAAACATCAAATTAGAAATATAAAATCAAAGATGTATCATATAAATTATATACTTACCATCCAATTGGACCTCTCAAGAACAAAGGCACCGGAACTTCAAACCATAAATCTCGTGATCCAAATAAAAACATTCTAGCTAATGATAAAATGTTTACATTCCTTCCCTAAATAAATAAATAAAAATTGTTATTACAATGAGTAAAAGCGAGATCGGAAAAGTTATTATTAATACTTGCCTTATTAAAAATTTCTTTTAATGTTAATTTTTTCTTTGATTTACTGACAGCCAATGTATGATCAAGATAAAATAAAGCAGGAGGAATAACAATTAAATTCATTACCAATAAAACCAATAAAGATGGTATGTATCCTATAAATCTATATAAAAGTGCACCCCAAAAGAATCCTGCCCCTTTAATTGAATTCTTTGCACCGGTAAGCCAAGCTACCAATTTAAAAAGTTTTGATTGATGTGATTCATTTTCGTCCTTTGTTACTAATTTTGTTACAGATTTTCCTCCCAATTTTACCAAATCTTTTGCTATACCACTAAATCCTTGTGATATAATAATATATATTATTACAATTGTTTTACTCCAATCTATTCTTAATCCACAAAGTAATCCAATTCCCATTATCTGAAATACAAGTCCAATGAGAAGACAAAATCTTAAACCCATTCGAGATCCGAGAATACCTCCAACCAGATTTGTAACAACCCCACAAAATTCATATAACGTAAACATCAAAGATATTTGTAAAGCCTAAAAAAAGAAAATCTTCATTTATTAAATTATATTAACATTAGTTTTTTTATAAATTAATTAAAAAATTTTAATTACTCACGTTATATTTTAAATTATATAATTGAAATAGAATGATCATTCGTAATCCTGAGTCTGTTAAAGTGAAAAGTAAATAACCACTTGCAATTACGTAAAAATTTTTCATTGAAGATGTTGAAGAGGAATTAGAATCATTATTAATTGGTTCATTTTTTTGTTGACTTTCAATATCATGATTTTGTTGACTTTCTAAAAACGTGTTCCCTTCATCATTAGAAAGTGTTGAAGATAATTGAATCGTTGGCTCAAGTTCTTTTATTTTTTCGGACATATTGGAATATTTTGAAGTATTTTGAAATAATTTGAAGTATTTTGAAGTATTTTGGAGTATTTTGAAATATTTTGAAGTATTTTGAAGTATTTTGAAATATTTTGAAGTAATTTGAAGTAATTTGAAATATTTTGAAGTAATTTGAAGTAATTTGGAATAATTCGAAGTAATTTAGAATAATCCAAATCTTGAAATATTTTGAAGTAATTTGGAATAATTCAAAGTATTTTGAAATAATTGAATGATAATAATTATTTTACCAAAAAAAAAAAAAAGAGAAGGATATTTATATAACAATCGAGTATTTACTGTTTGATTTTACAATCAATACAATCAAATACAATCAATTCAATCAATGATATCTTATAATCACGATATATATAATTAGAGTTTTTAACTGGACAATTTAATTTTTAATTCATTTTTATTTTTATAATCGATGATGTGATCGAAAAAAATCTTCCAGAATTTTTCAATTATTGGAGGAGTTAATTTGTAATAAATTTTAGTGATACGATAAACATACAATTCATTGGCTAATTTCAATTTTTAATTCACCAAATTTGGTTGAAGGATCTGAGCTGATACTCAAAAGAATGATAATATCAATTTCTGAAAATGGGTGAAATAAACAAATAAATAATAATTACTGAAATTGGGATTCTTAATAAACTAAATGGTAAAAGATATTTTTCAATGGATACACGTGAATTGAGTGAAATAATCTGATTTAAACTAAAAAGAATTAAAATCAAGAAGCTAAAATTATAATCGGAAAATTTCGACATTTTTATTGTGATACGTGTAAAATTAAAAATTTAAATGTTACTTTTTAGTCTGAAAGATAATCGCTTTTTTTGCTTTTTTTTTTTAAAAAAAAAAGAAAGACGGAAAGATTAACAAATCTATTTGAGTAACGCATTTTCAAGGGATGTTTAACACGATAATATTATTTATTGGGTAAATAGTAATTTACCCGGGTAGACTCGGGTAATTAACGGCTCGTCGATATATGGTAAATACCTTCCATAAGATATACGCGTATTAACGCATTAGTCGTATTGTGAACTATTATAACCGGAATGGGTAATTTATGTGTTACACTTTTATTATCATTTCATTTGTCAATAGAACAAAGAGAACAAACATATCGATATTACACAAAAAGATTGGAAACATTAAATAGTTATTGAGTTTTCGACAGATATCCCCAATATCCAATAACTGGAGTTATAGTTGAATACTGCGGTAACAAATAGGAATTAATGTTACTAATAATGTTTTTAATATTGGGATGTTCCATAAGTCATTAAAATCCCGCATATTCCTAATCGACTGAGACAATAATACTGTATAATATTATTAGTAACGTAATACATACAGTATTTTGGAACAAAGAAACAAAGAATCAAAATTCAAATTCTCGTACGGAAAAATTTGGAAACATGAACGGTTAAAAGTTAAAACCACATGAACGGTTAACTAACCGAGTATGAAAGGGTATACTAGCCGACTAGCCGAGTAATTATAAAGTAATTTGTAATTGTAACATCACATGAATATTGTATTAATCGTATTTTCACTGTTATTATGCAGACGCCCAAGATCATGCTTTCAATAAACTCGAACAAACTATCTTTTTTTAGTATAGTAACCAGAATAATCTATAAAAACTAACATATGTTTGAATGATGTAATGCGTCAAAAAAAAAAAAAAAAAAATTATTAATAAGCAAATAATAATTTATATTTATTTGTACCTTTACTTAATGTCAAAAGCAGCATGCTCCCATTTAGTTGCATAAATAACATAATAACGCAGTTATTTGGTAAATATCACGATAGATATTCTATCCAATAATTATAACACGTTATAACACATTATAACACATTATAACGTTTTTTATAATATTTAACTTGTCAAACTGACTTACGAAACTGCGATTTTTTATTATTACACCAATCAAATTTTATCTAACCATATTCGTAAAATTCTTTATTTCATGTTTTTTATTGTTCAGTAGGGGAATTTATTAAACCTTAAATCATGAAAAAATTACACGGCTGGCTTAAATTATGACGATCATGCAATTTTATATTGGCGGAAATAATTTGAAAAAAAAAAAATGATTTTTTTTTTTTTACAGGGGGTTGAAACCATTAAAACAAGATTATTTGTTTGATATTTTAACTTTATTATTATTATTGAAACCGGATAATAACAAGCTGAATGCAAACAATACATAACCCAATTACAGAATGGATATAACTATAATAGATCTTATTAAAGTACGTACTAAGTACGTAAAAAATTATCATTTATTCATTCAACATTACTATATTTAATACGCCCTCGAACTTAACCGTTCAAATAAAAAAATATTACGCCTCGAAACCAAAAATATTGTTCTTTAAAAAAAAAAAAAAAAAAAAATGTAA